CCAATGGCCAAAGGGAATGAAATTAATTCTATTTCCACTGAGTTTACAAACACCTGTGTTCATTTTAGTATGATTTTTATACATGGATGTAATCACGATAAAAAGCCAAGGATTAAACAAATGTTGGTTTTCCTATCACAGCTGGCCTTTATGCAAAGCTACGCTTATCTGATCTATCTCAGGTATTTCGCACAAAATTCCACTGGATCATGTGAGAGATGCCACAAGAGTTGTAAGGAGTGTATGGGGCCTCGAGCCACAGACTGTCTTTCCTGTAATACGTATTTCTACCTGCTGCACTCCAAGAACGAATGTGTTAGCTCTTGTCCTCAGTACTACTACGAAAACAAGGACAACAACGTCTGTGAGAGATGCCACTCTTCCTGTTTAACTTGTGACGGTAAAAGTATATGTTCTGCTTTGAGCAAAAAAAGAGGTCATCAAAACACCTGGAATCTCAGCTCCATGATCTGGGAACACTTCACAAAGACACTAACCACATACAGTGCTACCAATCTGTCCATGACTCTGGGTGTCCATAACCCACAGTAGGTGATGTAGACCTCTCCCAGGGGCTGCTGAGCTTTTCCTGTCTCTTGGTGACTTGTTACACTCATGCTCCACTGATTTATTTCTACTGCATTGATAATTGAGGTGAAACCAAGTATATGAATTCCTGTCAAGCTTTCTTCAGAACTGCTTCCAGCAGAGAGCACCAACAGAGAGACAGCCACTTAACAGGGAGGGCTAGAACCAAGTCACATGTTGCTAAGTCAGTGAATGGACAAAAATGGAGAACAGTAATGAATTTACCATCAGCCAGGCCTTTCATAAAAATGCTCATCATAAAAAATTGGGCTTACAGAGATGGACCCCATTTTTCACATGAATATCAAGAATGACTGAAAAATATCTCACTCCTTGAGCTGCCCTACTGTCTGTTACTCTTTCACTCCGTGAAAGCCAAGGAACTTAATTCCAACTACACATCTTTACAGCCTACAATGGGAAGAGTAAAGACCCATAAAGCACATCTCTAGATTGAAAGGAAAACTGATATCAAAAGCACAGTGATGTTTGATGCTTTTAATATAGTTATGTATTTCACAAAGTTAATTTTCAGAGACTGTCTATTTTGCTCTGTGAGACAGTGGTTTTAGTTTCTCAATTTTCCTAATTAAACCACTTCTGAAACAAAAAGCATTAATCCTCTTGGACCCATTTGATGTCCTTTTTTACCTGAACAACACAAGATTATAGCTAATGGGTTCCATGCTGCAGCTTAGAAGACCATGCATTGTAACACACAAACTATTTTGGATAGTGGATATACTGGATAGTACAGATAGCTAATTGCAACAAAATTATATATGAAGCACTCAGAATGAAGCCACATTCAAGAATGTTTACAACCTAATTGTGTAACAATATTATGAAAATTAGCAGAAATATGTTTGCTTTGATTTACAACAAAAAAAGATAGGCATTTTAATTTACAGACCAACTCCTTTGTTTTTCACATTATTTGGCATAAATACTACGGGACAGAATTTTTATCATCATTAAAAAGACAGAATTATAAAACACAAGCCAATCTGAAATGCATCTGCATTGCTGATATATCAGCAAAGAGCATGGTGTCTCTGTCAAGAGCAGTAAGGAAAATCATGCATTGCACAGTAATTTAGGAAGTTCTCTGTGTTATAGAAGGTTACTTACTTCAGCAGTTTAATGTCTGCTAATGTCAGTTCCTTGCATTTTCACTTTCTTCCTTTCAGAAAATGGCAGAAAATGTCTGTGTGCAGGGAAATGGATGGATGCATCTTGACACTTAAGACAAACTCATCCCCTCAGTGTTTCACAGAAATACTGTATGCAGCATCTGTCTTTAAAAAGAGTCTCTGACACACAAGGTGCATATGGTCCTCTGGCTGTAACTAGTGAAAAATGGTTTATTTCTTATGCAACTAAATAAGTTATTCTTCTATTCAAATATAAACATCACTTAATTCATGGTTGTCTAAAAATAGTTAACAGGGCAAGTAAGTATGGATTTTGTGAAGGACAGAATTTGGAGAAGGTTCTCCACATTTTACTTCAGTGCTCTGATCTAATTTATTTTCCTGAATATGTGAGAGGTTCTCTGTACAACTGATTGTGAAATTATCTTTTCATGATTATCAAAACACATAAGAAATAAATTTTGTTTGCACACAAAACCCCAAGACTAGGCACAAGCTTTTTCTAATACCAGCCTCTTCATGTGGAAGTCCTCACTAATGATTGTTGCCGCTGACAAACATCCTTTTGCTTCAAGCAGTGGTCAATATAATTTTTAAAGGAAGTTAGCTGACATTTCCTGTTGTAATATTGTTGTTTTGTTTGCCTTTCTAGGGAAGGGAGCAATCAGCTGCACATCTTGTGTATGGAGCTACAGTTTGTTAAATGGAATGTGCAACTCAGACTGTTTCGTAGGTGAATACAAAGTCCAGGAGACTCCAGGACAAAAGGTAGCTACTTCAAGGATTTTTGTAAAAAATACAAACAGCACATGGCTCTTCTGTGAGTTTTTAATGGTGCCTTTCTTTAAGTATGCTTACTTTTTTCCTCTTTTAGCAGGGGAAGCCTTGTTTCTCTTTCTGGGGTTTCCTTATAGTCAACAAAGATATCAAAATCACATGAACAAATCAGTTCCATTAATGATACAGTGTTTTTTTCTTCCAATATAACAGATTTCCTCTTGGATTTCTGATGCCTTTTCTGTAAGAAATCCTTCTGCATTTTTGATTGACAGCTTTTCTGGCAGAAAGCTCTCGTAGAAGGACAGGCTAAAATTAACACAGCTGTATATTTAATTGAATAGGATAAGGTTTGGATCTGCACCATAAGCCTGGGCATTCCACCTTCCAGATTTCCACACCAATTGCCTTCTAAAGATATTTATTCAAGAATATAGCAGCAAGGCATGCCTGGGATGGAGTCTCTGTCCTATAATATCTTCTTGACAGTCCTACTTCATAGCATTGATCTGAGAAAACAGCCTTATTTGAGGCTGGGGACCACACAGGTGTGCAGGTCTTTGCAAGAGCTTTGACTCTAAGAAATTAAGAACAGCTATGATCCTGCAATCTTGCACAGGTTCTTCCATCCAGGATAAACAGCCTTGCAATCCTAACTGCAAAGGTGGTGAAAGCTTATTGGAGTCTCCAGATGTTCACAGTGAACATGTCCAGGAACTGTGAGCATTGCAAATACTGAAACCCCTGACTTAAGAGCATTCTGCAAGGCAGGTGTGATCACAGTGACCGCTGGTAGTCTCTGTAAACAGAGGTTCCCAGAAGCCTGGACTTTAGGAAGAGTATTTGAATCTAAGCTGTTTCCATAGGAAAAAAAAGCCACATAATCTAAGAGTAATCGGTTTTGCTAAAAAATTTCCAACCACCTTTAATCCTTACTTCTGCTTCTTCCCTGGGTAAAGAGAAAATTCATACTCTCAGCTTTTCCCCAGAATATTTCGTATTGCTTCTTCCACATCACTTACTTTTCTGGCTCAAAAAGCTTAAAAGAATGAGTAAATTTTAACATCCTGCCTAGCTAGGTGAGATCTCTAAGCTTTTACAACACTTTACATCCCACAAGCAGATCACTGAGAAATCAGAAAACAGGAAATTTTTAATTTGGTATTGTATCTTCACACTGACACCCAAGGTGCCTAGAGATGACAACCACGATGGTCAATGACAGGACAGAACTGCCAGGTCAGGTACAAATCACACAAAATTAGAGGTGCATTGCTTGTGTTCTGTGTTTGAAGGAGAGCAAACCCAAGTGTGAGAGATGTGACAGCTCATGCATTGAGTGCAAGGGACCTGGTCCTCTCAACTGCACAGTCTGTCCAGCCAGCATGCAGCTCTTCCTGGAGGAAAGCCGCTGCCTGCCCTGCTGCAGCAACACTGACCCAGCAGAAACCCCAGAGTGCTGTGACTGCAGTGAAACACAAGGTAGGACCACGCTGAAAAGCAGGAATACTGCTAAGTGTTTTATGGTTGATTGTGCTGACATTATGCTGCTTGAAAACTGGACTAGAGCAAAAATGTGCTATCGATAAACAGTGTGTTCCTACTGCTTCATCAAAAATAGGGAAGGTTTTACTCAAATAACAACCATTATGTCTGGTGCTGGAGATGGCAACTTCTCACACTCTCAACTACTATGTTAAATGGCCTGGCATTTCATAAACTGACTGGTTTATGAATTAGCTTACTTCAATGAAGAGACATCTGAATCTCATTGCATTTGTGCACCTGCTAGCTTTTCAGCTTCTTTCTCATTATTTTAAATACAATAATGAAGAACAGATATCCCAACAACCTTATCGACATACTTGCTGCATAAGAACAACAAAAATATCATTGTGATACCAGAAAAGCTGGGTGTTTTGTTGACTGCTATCACTGCACCAGACACACTGTACCAGACTTTTAAGACACACACACACACAAATGCAAGCTCATTTCACCCTTTTTTTTGTTATTCTTTTGTTTTTATTTGCTGTTGTAGATGACTGCGTATTACGGACAACTCTACCACCTGGGCAAAAAAGTAAAACTATTTTATTTGTTATCACTTGCATTTTGCTTCTGCTTGTCATTGGAGCCATTGTATTCATCTGGAAAAAGGCACGTACCAAAACCCAGCCTGTCAATAAAGGACGATATGAGAAGCTGACAAATCACTCCAAAACCTTTCCTTCCTCTGTGAGCAACTATCACAAGAATCCCAGCTACCATGAGGATCAAGTGATTGAATATAGAGACAGAGATTATGAAGATGATGACGACGAAGATGACATTGTATACATGGGCAAGGATGGCACAATTTATCACAAATTTAAATACGGACTTTTGGAGGATGATGAGGAAGATGAGCTAGAATATGATGATGAAAGTTACTCATTTAGATAACTTTTTATTAGTTTACTAACAGTAAATTAGTCCTACTCTGTTTTTCCTATGAAATTATAGCTATTTAGTTAATATGCTCTGTTACTTGATAGCATCCTGACCTCCAATTTTTTTGCTAATAATTATTGTGAAACAAGAATAATTTCTAGAAATATTTCTAGAAATTCCTTTTTTCTACATAAATCTTTTCTAGGCTTTTAAGTAGCACTCCAGATATAATCTGGCTAAGAGACCAAGTTTCTATGCATTTGTGTGGAGAATAATCCTTTTCCAATATGCATTTGTGTAACTAACACAAACTTTTCTTCAGACCTTTTTGAAGAACCCTGCCAATCACTACTAGAAATGTGATAAGCAAGATGGGTGCATCTACTTGATGAATGCCACTGGGAGAGGATGCTAGTAGTTCACTAATTTGTGATTAGAGTTACTCAGCAATTCATAATAGAAGAGGCAACTTGGAGGAATTTACTTAGATTTTCTTCATAATCACCTGGTATTCCCTGAACATAATCTTCATAATCTTTACAGCATAATTTCCTGTTAATTCATGTATCTATGATATAATATTTTAAGACTTAGGATTCTAACTACTTCTCATAACTACATCTTATTCACAGTTTGTATGAAATAGAAGAAAAATATTTTATATATCAGCCTCTGATCAATCTTTACTGCAGTGTTTGTCAAAAAATCTTGCATTTTACAGATGAATTTCTTGGTTTACAACAAAGGGCAATATTGTCTATAAGCATGGCACACACACACCAATTCTGCAGCATGAGCAGGTGGTGTTTATACTGTAAATGGCTCAGGATGCTCAGATAATGGCAAAGGGGATATTTTCACTTTTCTGGTAATTTTTATTATTATTATTACATAAATAAAAATTTATAATTCTGAAGAAAAGAATGGCTGTTTGTTGTGAATAAATTCTTTAGCCATCTTATATATGCTGTTACTCACTACATTTCATTAAATCTCAGAGTTTCTCTAGGTTTCCAGTAAGGAGCTTTTCTAAAAACAATAAGGGTATATATATAGATTTAGTGTTTACAAGGAATTGTGTAAAAATACCAGCTTTCCATGGCTTAAAGCCTCAGTGAAATTTTCAGTATTACATAAGCCTAAAGACCTAAGGATAGTTCGATCTGTAAGATTAAAGATGTTTTATGGAGAGGTTTATTGCTTCCAATTTTAATTTTAACCCTAATTGTTGCAGCTTCAGTACGAGAGAGGAATTAAAGGTAATGTGACAAAAGCTGAAACCATGTTTAGCAAAAGCTATGTTTATCAAAAACTGTAATACAGCATTTGACAGCAAGGTACTTCAGAAAGATACATGTTATCTTTCACTTTAAAATCTAATAAAGCAGAAGAGGAAAAGAAGAGTGAAAAATCAGTTTGAAAGATGATACTGATATCCTGGTTTTCTAAACTTGTTTAAATTAACAATATGCTTTATTCTTGTTGCTAATGGCTTATAACACAACTGTGAGGATAAGCTTTGACACACTTCCTCACATTTCAAAGGCTTATTCTTAGCTATGCCTGAGCAATCTGAAACCAGAATGATAATGTGCATTTTCCTTATGGGGGCTCACAGGTTATGAAACTATATTATTATGAAAGGGCCAGATGACCCTGGAGAGGCAAAAAATGATTGAAACCATGGTGCCATAGTCAGGAGTTAGGTTACTCAGCCCTTTTGCCATGCCCTGGTTTCCTGGGGACAATGGGACCCATCTGACAAAGCAGAGAAAAAGAATCTTTGGTCAGAGCCTTGCAAGACTCCTCAAGAGGGCATTAACTTAGATTTGTTAGGGAAGGGTGTCTGTCCATCCCAATCCAGCCAGTCAAATATCAACACCTTTAATGGATGCCCATCATCAACATCTCCTATAGCACCAACATCTCCTATAAAAGAAAATCACATTCAATATTTTTGGAATTGTTAAGTTTGAAAATAGTACTCAAGAAGACACAAATTTAGGAACCTGTATTCCTTTACAGTGTCTACAACTAGAAATCCCTGCTAAGAGTCTAAAAGAAGACCAAGAAAATAAAAGCACAAGGAAATAATTCTAGTATTGCTTCTAAAGAAACTTCATGGAAAACTGGTAGAACCACGTAAGACAGTAAAAAAATTACAGAGAACACAATAGTACACAAAGGAAATTCTGTTTTTCTGAATTATTTTATCCCTTCTATTAATCTAAGTTCCTTACACTTTTTCCTGAAATAAAGGCATCCAATTATTTTTTAATCTTTTCTAGTCCTTTTTACCTACCATCACCATTTCCCAGCTCTGACTCCCATTGTCACAAACATTCATAAAGTTCTGGTCTCCTGGAAAACACAAATCTTTCTAATTATTCCTCAAGACTAACAGATACTAAAACTTTTCTAGATACCACACTAGCAAGTGCAGCCTTCTGTTTTAATAATTTATGTTTCATCTTTCTACTTTGTGTTTTTGGAGGATACCTATTCCATATTACAATCAGACTGCAAGACATGTGACCCAGCAGAAGAATGATTTTACGTGGTCCCCTGAACAACAACAAGCACTGCTCTGTGAGCTGGCCCATTCCTGGAGTTTCCTGAATTTTCAAGAAGCCTGTCCCCATGTATTGAGCTTCTCTGGACAGTCTGTGGCACAAGATGTGGTTGCAAGATTTTTTACCTATTTGTTCCTCCATTTCAGAGAGTATCACAAATGACACTTTTGTAAACCTAACATCAGTGAGTCTTAAAAGCTCATGTTTTCAAGGAAAGCACTGTTCACAGAACTGACAATATACAATTTTCTCTACATTTTAAACATTCATTCATTAAAAAGCACACACACAAAACACATCCAGTTCACCATAATTTTATTTTACTCCATTTTGGACAATGTACTGCATTCTGTCCAGACCTCTGTAAAGTGAGAAAATTTTGCTATTCTTTTTCTCTTGAATAAATTTTCATATGGATATAAATACTTCCTCTAATTATGCAGCCCATTTATTTTGTTTAAGTAATTTCAACTGTACCTGAACTCATTTTAATAAGAATTATAATGGCATGTGCTACAGGGTTTCAAGATTTTTTAACTCTGTGTGGGAAGTTGCTCACAAAATGAGTGTGGAGCCATCAGAAAATATGTCTCATTTTTATGTTTATTTTTACTGGCTTACTGCTACTACTGAGCATTTAATAACAGCTTCCAGAAAACATTTTATATATGAAGGATAATGTCATTCTGAACTGGTATATAGCAGCAGTGATGGTGACCAAGAATTAGCAAACCTAAGCACTGCTGTAATTACATATTCCCATAAGTGGAAGAGTTGCTACCTAAATCTTACCTTCTTCCAAAACTACTTTCTTTTTATCAGGTCACTCGAAAAATGGGAAACGGTATTTTTCTGTTAACTCTTCCTGCAAGTTTCAATTGTGTCTCCACTGTGTACATTTTAGGTTTCAATTCTCCACTTGCTGATGTGCCTTAAAGCATTTACTTGCAGAATCTAACTGCATTCAAACAGTTTTTATTTTATGTTATACAAATCACACTGTCATTTTTCAGAGAACTGTTCTGTTCATAGGCTTGGCAAGAAGGGTTTTTCTTTTTAATTTATGATGATGAGCAGAGAGGAGTAAGAAATTAGCAGGCAGACCTTGAAAACGCAGGGAGTCAGTCACATATATAGTTAAGTACTTGCATGAACCACATCTATGTTCAGACCTGTACTGGTTACCAACTTTTTGATGAAAGTCTATTCAATCTAGACTTACAATACACACAGGAAATTCCACTATAACTGGCACTTTACTTCACTAAGTTTTATAATCCTTGCTTTTCCTTATAAATGGGAGTTCTTATTGAGTTTGAATGCTTAATACTCAGTACTTTTGCAATTAGCTAAATATTACCTACACACAGTTAGTATTTGCACACCACCCTTTCTATATACACTTCCTTACACTTACAGAATAATAACATCTAAAACTCTAGTTTTAGAGTGCTGGCTAAAGTTAGAGTGCTGGCTAGTTATATTAAGTGCTCTTGGCTGTCACAGACATGTTTTATGAAAAATCCTTTTGCCAAGATTTTTTCTCCTGAGAAGCTGAGAAGCCTCAGAGGAAAAGAAAAACAAGAATAATCTGCTGCTGTGGAATGTAACAGGTGCACCATCTTTGATTGGTCTCATGTGGCTGCTTTTAATTAATGGCCAATCACAGTCCAGATGTCTCGGACTCTCTGGTCAGTCACAAGACTTTATTATCATTCCATTCCTTTCCTTCCTTTCAAGCCTTCTGATGAAATCCTTTCTTCTATTCTTTTAGTGTAGTTTTAATATATAATTTTCTTTTTAATATAATATATATCATAAAATAATAAATCAGCCTTCTGAAACATGGAGTCAAGATTCTCATCTCTTCCCTCATCCTGGGACTCCTGAGAACACCACCACACTTGGCATTCTGACACAAAGCAGTAACAGTTCAGTTATCTTTACTTAAAATAGGTTATATAAGAAAATAATTCTATAATTTGAAATACAGCATAATATTACAAATGCATTATGTTTTTATCCTCATTTATATGAAATCCCCAGGTTGTCTGTATCTACTTACCAAGCCACTTGTCAATTGCATTCTCATACTTTTTTTGGTCCTTTAACCAGTCTTGATGCCACCTAAGGTTTGCAATAACACTTGAGTAATTTTGACCCAAACTTTGTTTCCAACTGATAAACTGTTGCTTGTTATACTCATGAACAGAAGAAGAAACCTTTGGATAGTTTACTATAGAGCGAAGTATTTTGTCCAAAGAATGTACAGTTACTGGGAATTTTATGGCAAGATTTGTAAGCTCATCTGGATCAGCAGTAAGGTCTGCAACAAACAAAAGTCAGTTAAGATTCAATTTGCACTAAAGTTAATTAACGAATCAGTCAAGATATAAAAGCAGCATACCAAAGAGTTGGGGCAGTACTGAAGAGCCATCCGAGTACGCGATGTATTTCCACTTGCCAGTTCTCAGCATATACACAGAGGAATTCACATTGCACCCATGGAACTCACTCAGCACCCATGAGGGCCGAGGTCCTCTCGGTGACGCTTCGCTCTCAGCCTTTTCACGTAGCAGCGGTATAAGAGAATATCCACTGAGGTTCTGTGGGACAGGAACTCTTGCTATATCTAAGGAAAGATACACAAAACCAAAATGTTACTGCAGTTTTCAGTTTTAAAAAACTCTAACACAATGCAACCAAGGTCTGAATGTTGATAATAAAATGTGCTCTCCTAATTATTATCTCAAAATACATAATAAAAAATACCTTAAGGAATTTCCCAAGGCAAGCTGCCCAGCATCTTGACCAAATATATCACCTATGTATAACTTAACCTTTAACAGAAGTTTGTGAAAATGATCACAATAGTCTCCTTGACAGTTGGTGCTGTTTTATTCCTTAATCACGGTTGCAAACATTTCTCTTTTGCTCTGACTATATCAGGCAGAAGAAAAAGAGTAACACAGCATGAAAGGGCCCTAAAAGCTCCACATCCAACATGTTGGAGCTGTTTATTACTTGAACAATAATGGTGCTAAGCTCATCTGTAGAATTCTTCATTAGAGAATAATGAAATGCTTCATAAAAGGTGGCCTTTATTATCACCTGTAACTGGTGGGGACACTTGCTTCTCTGGCAGGACTGGAGATAAAGATGTTATTTGAGGCGGTATAATCATAGTGCATGTACAAAAAACTCTGGATGACTCCACAGCCTACCAGACGGCCATTAGGAGACGCTGTAATATCCATAAGCTCCGCAGCATCAACTTATAACACAAGTTTCTCTAGCTCCCAAAGATCAGGTTAAAAGACTGCAAAGGTTTTTCAGAAACATTCTGAAAAACATAGCTGAGAATCCCAAGCATGTCCTAAAAACCATGTATGATAGTAATTCGAAATTCAAAACTTTCCATTTCACAGAGCACCGTGGTAGTATTTAGTCTGTTCTGTGTTGAGTGGTGATACTCTGTGCATATAAACTGCTCAAAGGTGACTCTTTCCTTCATCAGCACACATCTTCCTTTTTGTCCTCTGCCCAGCCAGCATCTGACAAAGTACTAGGAAGACCCACAATGTGTAAACCTAGCAAGCAGCTCTTGATCATGCACAGGCAAAAAAAAATTGAACAAATACACACTACATTCCAACAAACGAAAAAGGGATATGGGCTCTTCTGTCATCTTAAACCAGTAACGCTATTACTTGGTAATCCAGTAACTGGATTTTCTATGTGTGAAGAATGTTCCAGCCATTCAGCAGCTCCTGCTTTTCCAATAGAGAGCCAAAGGTATTTCCACACTGACCAACAATGCTAGTGCTGCCTGGAGATTATGCTACATCCTGTTACAAAAAGCAAGAGCTGTTGCAGGTCTGACTGTACATTCGTATCCCACAGATTCTGCTGGAATCAAAACATTTGCACTTATTCTCAAAGCCAGTGCAGGAGGCAGTCTTGACCAAAGGTGCCATTTGGATGGCACCTTAAGAGAGATTATTTCCCCGTGACAATCCTAAGCAAAGCAATTAAATTTGTCACAAAAATAGACTTGAAATCTGTTTCCTCGCTAGTCAGCAGCAGCATGCAAGACAGAGACCATAATACATGATAGAGATGGCTCTTTAAGTTTTCATTTTCATCATACATGCCTTTCTGACGTTCAGAGTACAGAGAAGGGGAACTGCCAGAACAGAAGGAATGAATTATGCACACAAAGTTCTGGGGAAAAAAAGCCCAAATGAAAAACCCCCAGGAGGCAAAGACAGAAGGATATTAAACCATCTGACCAATTATGTCACTTGGGAAAAAGAAACAAAGAAATAAGAGTTTTTCAGCTCTTTACATAGGATAACATAACTTGTATAAGATCCATATGTAGTACAGATATATATACATAAAAATTTGATGTCAAAATTTGGAAGAGAAAGTGACTCAGATTTTATATCCTATTTTTCCCTGGATAACTGGTTCAAAAGTTTTGAGAAGACATAAACAGATAAATAACTTCTGTTTACTTTTTAGAAAATCAACCTAAAACAATATAGAAGTGGATTTTTCACTGGTATTTATTGCTAGCTGTACAGTTTTATTCACTCATGTTCTCCAAGTAATTGCAGTGTACATGTGGCACAAGCCTTCCAGACTGGTTTGAAAAAAATATTTCTTCTGATTGGAAGCCTAAAAGATCACAGATAAAGCCTCATAAGATAACTTTACCTGATGGTTAATTCCAATTAGAATGGTGTCTTGCATGATTTATCACAGATAACTGTTGAAAAATTCCCTCCTAAAAGTGATTTCCATCTACGTAATTTAAGTTTAGTTCTTTTCATTTTATTCTCTGTCCAATACTGAGTATTTTCATATCTCATAAGGTAAGAATGGATATCCATTATCACATCTTTTTACATGTGCCCGGATCATTTTTACATTTCCTATACAAAGCTTTCATCACACTTCTTCCACATGACCCTTCATAAAAGACATTCCTTTGCTAAGTTAATGAACCTGTTCTCCTCCTTTCAAGTTTAATCTCATCTCTGGATGCACTTACGCTATAATTTCTATACTAAACTGTTGGGTGTGAAGGCTAGCAAGGATTATTCATATCCAAAATGGGCTTTATTCCTTTTTTTACTAACAAATAATCCTATATATAATCAATCAGTGTAATTATGTGGAAGACAGTTACAGTAATAAGGAAGACAATCAGTTTCTTTATTGGAAAAAAAAATTGTCACCTGAAATTACTTAACTCACCGAGCATAGTAGGATAGATATCCACAAGAGATACTACATTTGGTATTTGCTGCTGTTCTCTAAAACCTGGTCCCATAACTAAAAGAGGAACGTGGGAACTTCCCTCATACATGCTCATTTTATAGAACTGACGGTGTTCCATAGCAAGTTCTCCATGATCTGCAGTGAATATAACAACTGTTTTTCCAAGAAGCCCAGTATCTTGCAGAGCTGAAATAATCTCCCCTGCAACATCAAAAAGATACTGAAAAGAATACATTCAAAATATTTCTTCCAAGGTCTGTACCTGCAAAGCAGCATGCAAATTTCAAGGAATGCTCCTAATCCAGTGGAGGAAACTCCTCTTTTGTTGCACATATATTTGTGCAATGAAAACATAACATATACTCCTCTATTTTTGTACGTACATTTCTGCAACAAAGACAGGGCCAAGATCAATGAAGTTGGTAGTTAAGCAAAGCACTTAGGCATCTTAAATATTAAAACTTTAGGATGACTCATGCCTAAACATACTAGTTAAAAGATGTTATAAAATTACAACTGCAGTGCAGTTACTTTGCAATCCCTTATTTCCTAAACCTATAAGGCTTCCATTGTTTCATTCATAAAATGAGGAGGAGCAATTCTGTGTCTTTTAATTCACTTTGCCAATCTAATATGGTGTCCTGGTTTAGGTCATATACCTAAAAGATTAGCTTATTTGATCATGAATTTCATATTAGGATGCAAACGAATTCATTCATGGTCACTTTTCAAATAAAAAAATAAAATGCTGTAAATTAAGACCAAATTGCATTGTAAATTGCAGGAAGGTCTGTAGACCTTCCTGCAAACTCTGAAGAATTCTAAATGTACAATTAATTATTTCTTCACAACTTTCAATAATTCTAAGGGACATTCAAATGTAACTTTACTCTTCAGTCAAAGTGTAACAGTTGTTATCCAGTCTACACATTTGAAATCAGCTTCTAAGGAAAACGACTTATGCCCTAAAATTTATCTTTTCATCCAGCTCAGCTTTTACAGTCTGTCCCCTTCACAAAAGTGTTTCCATTATTTCAGTTAGCACTTAATCAAAGAGATTTAGTTCCTCTTGTACATGGGTATCCTGGGTACCTAGGAAAAGAAGGGTGGAATTTCCAGCACTATTTAATATAACATACCACCTATGTCATGGAGGGGGCATGGTTTTCAGCAGGAGACACTTAGGTGTGTTGAAGTTGATTAGTCTTACCTCCGTGCTGGAAACATGTGAACTGCTCCCTTAACTGTTGCTGAAATCAAGGGAGGCCGTAACTGTTTCTGAAACTCTGACAAGCTGTAACTATTCCTGGAGCAGCAGGAAGACGCCACTGCCACCACGGCTGCTAGTGCTTCTGCCACTGCTGCCACTGTCAAGGCCAGCACTTACAGAACCCTTTATTTGGATTAATTAGCTCTCCAGGCTTTGTTTTGTCCCTGTTTTCCATTGCTTCTTCCAGGCTGGAGAAAGGATATTAAATTGCAGAAACTATTTTGCCTCATTGCTTTCATTTTTCTGAGCTGCATGGTCTAGTGTGGAGGGGATGGAGATGACAGGTGCCATCTTGCCTTTGTCTGGGAAAACCACACTAGGTACTCTCTTTGGGGGGTGTTTTTGCTTTTTTGTCAGTGAACACTTCCTCTGGGTGGAGCACTCTCCTTTTGTGTTGTCTTTTATCTATATTGTCTGTATTGCGAGTTTTTGGTAAAATTGTTGTTCCTATTTCTGGTCTCTCCTAGTATTTCCTGTGCTGGGAAGGGGATGGAGGAGGAGGGGCAGCTTGCATGGGATAATTTTCCCATTCGGTTTTAAACCGAATCATTTGCAATGGGTCATGCCATATTTTGCTGCAGTCACTGGTTTTCTACAGAGCTTCTAACTGCTGGCTGTGATTACTTTTCAGAGTGCTCCCAACTCACCTAAAAGGGTATCCTCTCATTTATCATATAGACTGAATGAGCAACTTCCACAACTTACTCCCAGATGTGAATTGTGGTATTTTGTTTTCTATTTTTTCCCCTCCAAAGATCAGCCCTATCAGCACTTTCTTTAAAAAAACCAGAACTAGAAAACCCACTGTGTAATAAGACATTACCTACCCAGCATGGCATCTGTCTCTGCACACATAGCATAATAAAATGCTCTAATATTTCTCACTTCTTCCTTTGTAAACTCTCCTGTGCAATTCTTGGTGTATGATGAGTAATAGTCTACAGGATGCATCTCTGAAAGAGAAATCCACTTGGGTACTTTAATAGCTTCATAATTTACCTAAAAAATAAAGAGGAAATTAACATTACTTTAGCAACTGAATTAAACAAGTTTTTTAACACAGATTTAATTTTAAAAAGTATAGCATAAATTCACAGTTCTCAATTTATGGCCCAGGAAACAGTAGCTGCTTACTTGTTACACCATGCAGCTACCTCCTCCATACTTCCCCATAGTTCCACAGGTAAATTGTTTTTTAAAAACCTATGAAAATCAACTAGAAACTAAGGCTAGGAGGCACAAATATGTGCTTCACCAACTGCTGTATATTTTTAAGAGAGATATCACAGAACACTCTTCTAGAGTAGGTACAGAATATTGGCAGAGTGTCTTTGTAACTGTAGAATAATTATAAACCTATGGATCTAAAAGATTGTGTGTTATGTGGGACTAGAGAACAACATGGAAAACCATGTAGTCTGGGAAAGCCTCCAGGACAGTGATGACAAGTCTTGGCATCTTAATAAAAAGAACTCACTACATTAATCCAATTTTCTAATACTTTCGACATGTTTCTACATATGTCAATCCATTTAGTTATAAAGAAATGTAACATCAGTATGAAACCAAAAAGCCAATCTATTTGTATATTCAAACTATGTGTAGTCACAGATATTGTCTGCTTCAGTACTAGCTTTAGAGTCTTGAAATTTGACATACACATTTAGCCTTGGCTGTAATACTTGTAAATATTCCCTTAAATAAAAGGGAACTTGAGGTAATTTCCTCTTGTACTTTCACTTGTTACTTGGAGGAAAAGCCAGCCAGCTAAACAAGTTGATAAATCTGCAAGAGTTCTACTGCCCACAGAACTAAAACATGGCTTTGTAACAGTCAAATAGACACAACAAAATATAAGTTTCCTTAGGATCTATAGAAAACACACGGCTAGAAAAAATCATTAAGATAAAATAATAATGCTTTAGTCATTTTCTTACAGCTCAAGGTCCTTGGCTACATTTTGGAGTTACATTTTGGACTTTGCAAATGGTACTTATTAGCTGCTTAAGATAAGAGAGTAAAAAGTGTCCCTTTTCATCCATGATTCTTTTCTACAGGACTTCAGTCTAGTTTTAAATATTCACAAAGACACAATCCCTTTGTCTGTCTATGGTAATGTCCTGGGTAATCCAAAATGTTACTGTATTCCATATCTATCTGTGCCATAAGATTGTTACGGTGCCTTTAAGACCTGAAGCGTGGCTGGAACCAGAACTGCAGGGCAGCCGGGAAATGCCAGTCCCTTTAAAAGGTCAAGAAACCCAAGGTGACTTCTGCTGCTGCTGAAGGAGGAGACTCGACTTCAGAGGGGCTGATATGGGTGAGTTTCTGGGATTCCAACTGTAGCAACTCGGAAGAACTGCATTTAGTGAACAGAAACTGTATTCCCAGTGATCTTTGCAAACTCCATAGGCAGTGAAGCTTGATCAGGGGGTTGGGCCACCCCACATCAGTGTCCAGAGACCAGTTTCCCCTGCTCCCTTCTACAGCATACCAGCAGATCAGAAGGCACCAACACCAGTGGAATCCGGCTGGTGCAAGAGGAAGCAGCAAACAGCGGTGCTGACCCCACATGTGCCACAACTTCCCATCTGCCACTAGACCTTCGTAAGCTCCACCCTTCCCAGGAGGGTTTGCTGCCATCCATTCCCTTTGTTTCTTGGAGTGCATGGTGGCAGGTGCCACCTTGGAAAGAGCCAGACACCACTTTCCCTTTGCCCCCTGCAGGCAGTCAGCAGTGGGGGGCTGTCAGATTAGAAGGGGGCTGCACCCCACCAGTTTGGGATCTCTTTGTTCCTGTGGAGCTCCTGTGATTCAGCAAGTTTGTATCTAGTGATTATTCACTGCTAATTTTTGCATGTTGCTGTTCCGCTTGTTAGTAAACTTATTTTTTCACTTGTATCTATTGATATTGGTTCCTTATTGGTGGAAAGGGATTGGTTGAAACTAAGGGGAGAACTCATTTCAGAATGTCTACCTCTTTGAATTGTCTTAAACCAAGACACATAATTCACAACTAGGAAAGAAGCCACATGCCCTGAAAAATGACAACTTGTGTGCGAAACACAGGGTACCATCTGGTTGATAACACAACGTTTCACAGACATAATGTGTTGATACTCTGTTCTGTATTACAGCCCAAATAATCAGGACATTTAATTCAGTTCTTCACCTATGTGATCAAACTTCTTAATGAGATTGCCTCTGTGATTTTAAAAGACTGTTTCTTCCATGACCAAAAAAGAGCTACATTGCAGAAGAAGAACTGGCCAATGGTCAGTAAATGGTAATATGTGGCCCACACAAGGCAGTATGTATACACAGTGGTGGGAAGGAGCCCAGCAAACTGTGCAGTTAAGGTACTCTGACTGGATAAAAGATGACAAAAATTTGTAAAAGATGTTATAACTGTTTGTGACTCAAAAAAAGCATCTATGCTTCCCAAGATACATCTAACCTAGCAATCAGCACCCAGCAAGTTTTCCTTAATAACTAAGCCAGATCTTGCTTTTTGCAATTGAAAGGGCTTTTTTCCCAAGTTCTTCCTCTCCCCACAAACTTCTTACCATTCCCAGAAGAAGCCACAACCCTCACTATCATGAAAAAAATTCACATCTCTCAACCTTCATTTGTAAATCCTTTTTTTCTAAGTATTTGTATTTTTGGTACATCTAGATAAAGGGGTTTAGCAGTTCTGTCGTGGAAAAGGCCACAAGTTACATAAATTGCATACAGATGGATTTTTTGAAGTATATAGTCTTATCAACCTAATTCTAATTCTGCAGCTGCAGAGAATATTAATGCCTTTCTGCAATTAAATCTATTGGAGTAAATTTCTATTTTATGGCAGTTAATGTCAACTGGAAACTATACAAGACTGAAAAAAGTACCTCTTCTTCGGAATGGAGTGCTATGTCTTAGTTTTACACATACAGACACTTTCTTGTGCTTGAAAACCTACAGTAGCACAGAAGAAGTTAACAGAAAAGGAAGACTTCTGTTGTGTCTTATGTTGCTTTATGTTCTAGGTCTATACTGCAGAAAAAGTCAATCTTTCACTGTAAAACTCAGACCAAATTATTACATATAGCATCATTTCTAACAAGCAAAATACAGAATGTTCATAACAATGAGCTTCAGACCATTACCAAAATTAATTTACAGTTAAGAAGAGCAACAATCTCATTTTTCTTAACACGTTTCTAGCTATTGAACTCTATACTTATCGATTCAATGACTACTGCTAACAAACCTTTTCCCACAACAGAGACAAATTTGTCACTTCTATTTTCTTAGCCTTTAATCAGAAATCTAATATCTCATTCAAGTATTTTCTTACTGTGTAGTGAAATATCAAAACTGGGTCTATCTTGAAAAACCAGGAAAAAATATTGTATTAAAATACAGTTATTAATAAATTAGTATTTAAATTTTATACTCACATACCTTTTCAAGCCAATAGGGAGATGTTAAAAATGTAGAGGATCCAAAATTTTCTCCTGCATAGGGTGATGGATATGGGTGTGGTAAATTCAGTCCCAAGTAAAGAATAAATGGTTGAGTAAAGTTAACAGCTTCTTCCTTTATCCAATTTACTGCTTTATCAGTATTCTGCCAATCTTTTTCCATTACTCTAAACTGCTTCCTATGGCCTGTAAGTTTCACCATGGGTCTTCCTTCTTGTCGGAGCAGGAAGTTAACATCCCTAGTCCAAGCTTCCACACGGTTACTGAAAATACATACACAAGTCACAAACTCAACAGAAAATGTTTTCTTCACTTTTCCTCCAAGCAAAAAGCATTATGAATTCCTGAAGAACTTCCCCTATACTTTCAGTTGCAATCTATTTGCAATACCTGCAAAAAGGAGAATTGTTATTCAATTGAGCAATTATGATTGTGCATCTATTTTATAGTCAGACCTTCAGCCTTTTTATGTCTGCTTCTGAATTTTCTTTCTTATTTATTACCCATTTATGTCACAATGGCTCTTCTCACATCTACAAAATAATACTTAGAAATACCATTCCATCTTGTGGACCTCTCTCCACATTTTGGCACAGATTCACACACTATTTATATGTAAACTGGGCCAGAGATTTTTATGTGAAAGAGTATAGTGGGAAATTACTTTACTGGTGAGGCTGCCTTTAGAAACAACATTATGGATGTGGCTTGTACTATTAATTAAACACACTTTAGACAAAAATCTGTAAGAATTATTTCTCTTGTACAAATCCTATCAAACAAGAATAGAAAAGAGTGTAAAGAAAGCAAGAAGGAGGGGAAAATGTCAACATTTTAATGACAAAATATTTTTGAACAGATTTTCTAATGTCATGGCAATTGTTGTCTCTCTAAAACAATAAAAAAAATCTGAGCTGAAAATGTCCTTGTTTCTTTGCCAGAGTGAATGATGGTGGACATTGGTAAGGGGCAGACTACCTAAGACCTTGACTAATGTTCACCTTGTTCATGGCAATTTCAATATAACCAAGAAATTACAAAGGAAAGTATAAAACTGCTCAAGTTTGATCACATGCTTTTATCAAAACACAACATTATTACTGTTTAAAGAGCATCTAACTAGTTTTATCCCCAAAGGAATTTTACCAATGCACTGTAACTTCTAGAAAAGCTATCTGTAACAAATTTTTTATTGTTTTAATTTCTTGTTTAGGCTCACACTTTCAACCTACACAGGCTTAAATAAATTACTTAGAACAATATAGGGCATCTGGTTTACAGAGAAAGCATGTTTCATAGACATTAAAATGAAATTATGATAAAGGAGTGTGTGGGTGTGTCTAATTGTACCTAATGTCATAATACTGATTTATACAGAAAAAAATACTATGTAGGCCATAGGCCAGTCTAATTATCCAGTCAGACTGAGATTAGGATCAAGTTTAAAGAACCAAATCCCCTCATAACTAAAAAGGAAGCATTAAATAACTCTAACCTGTTTGTCATTAAAGAAAAAGCTTCTCTTTATTATTATTTTAACAACAGACATCATTATTAGTCAGTGAGATAGAGCATATTCATAAAAACAACACAGAATAAAGATTCCCCAGCAGGCCATGGAGGAAGGCTGTATCCCAGCAGTCCATGGAACTGATATCTACTTGCAGCCTATGATGTACTCCACACCAAACCAAATGGATATCCAAAGAAGGCTGTGATCCTGTGGAAAGCCTGCACTGGACTTCCAGCAGGACCTGTGGACCTGCAGGGAAAGGAATCCAGGCTGGAGCAGGTATACTGGCAGGACATGTCACCCCCTGGGGAGACCCACACTGGAGCCGTTTGTTCCTGAAGGAGTGCATCCCATGGAAGGAACCCATGCTGGAGCACTTTGTAAAGAACATAAGCCCATGGGAAGGACTCACTTTGGAGAAATCAGTGGGGGAGGGACCCCACACTGAAGCAGAAGAAGGTAAGGAGTTCTCCCCTGACGAGGAGTGAGTGGCAGAGACAATGTGTCATGAACTGACCACAGTCCTCACTCCCAAACCCCTGTGGGTAGACATGGTAGAGAACTTGGAAGTTAAGCCTGGGTGGAAGGGTGGTGGAAAAGTGTTTTAAGATTTGGGTTTACTTCTCATTGCCTTACTCTGGCTTCTAATTAGCAATAAAAGAAATTAATTTTCCTGAGTTAAGTCTGTGTTGTTGTGTACCTGAGTGATCTCTCTCAGTCCTTATCTTCACCATTGAGTCATTGTTTTTTCTCCTTTCTGCTCACTGGAGGTGGTGGAGTCACAGAACAGTTTGTTCTATCATGGTGGCCCTGGTGTGTCCATCTGGGGTCAACCCACCACAACAGCACAAGTCTTTGAACTCTTATGGCCTTCAAAATACCCCTCAAAGACTCTGACATTTTGTGACAGTAGGCTTAATATTTAATTATTATAGGTACAGGGTTTTGTTCTGCTTTTCCTACACTGTTGGTATGACCAGGAAGTCTTAAGGCAAGGCAAAAACAGTTTATGAATTTCACTTAAGGAGCAATAATACCAGCATTAGAAAATAACCATTCATGTTGGGCAAACCAGTTTCTGTATTACCTTTCAACTACAGGTAAAAGACAAAGTACAGCTGCAAGAGATAGGCTTGCTTCTCCATGAAGTTGCAGGACAGATCTCTGCCAGGCACCCAACACAATTTAAGTTAAAGCTACTATCATTTCACCTGGAGACTGAAACCACGTGACAGCACACTACATGATTTGTTCACTGCTGCCCATTTCACAGCAGAAGAATCTACCTGATTACCTTACTGAATGATGTCCAGAAGTAAAGTCCAATTTCCCAAACTTCTGTGTATGGTAGCCGTGCTTCTCCATGAGATCCATCCATGTTACATAATCTGGATCTAGACCTTTGAAGTTATTCCAAGATTCTGTTATATGAGTGAAAAGACCACTCCACATAGCTGGGGAAAAAAAATGATGAGTGATTAGTACTCCCCACCTATAAGGCTAGGAAAGGATTAATCTTCTCATTATTACAGAGGTTAAAAGTCCAAACTGTGATACAATAGAACAAGGAATACAAAGTATTACTCTTCCAAATCTTATTTCGTAATCAATACAAGTATCAAAATTTACTCAAATAATCTCCAGAACTGCAGAAGAAGGTCCTATGTTTCCAGGTGCTATGCAATCATTAAATCAAGTTCTAATTAGATCAGAAAATATTCTTCTTGATTTCTGAAAGAAAATGGCATGGTAGTACAGATCCTGATTAAACAATCCTGTATTTACATGTGTTTCAGAATGTTAGTTACCCTTATAACAGTTAAATTTAATGCGAGTTTAAAGTTAAGTGTATTTGTGGAGAGAATTACAATACAGTATTCTCATAAATACAACATGCCCTCAATTTTATTCTTTTTAGGTAATCTACTTCACTACCACTTGCAAAAACAAAGTGAGAATATTAAAGAAGATACCAAGAAGAAAGGAAACCAAGGCCAGAGTTGCAAAGGAACTATGAGGGAAGATTTTAAAAGTGAATTCCTATTTCTTTGCAGCTTATAAAGAATCATTCACTCTTTCCAGTGCTAATTTAGAGTTAAAGATAGTTCCAAAACAGAACTAAGTCATTTCACAAGCAATAGAAATATCCTGTAAGCAAAGTGCATCAACCCCATATGGCAATACCAGTCCTTTCCCCACCCCAAAGCCCTCTTTCCCGCTATATTTCTTCTGGTATCATCCCTGACACCTCCACAATAGATGTAACCTCAGTTCCCTGCAGGTATCCAAGCTCCTGGCTATGTCCTGCTGGTTCAGAGCCCCACATATGAGCTCAGTAGTCACAGCTACCTATAACACTACACACAAGTGATGAATTGTTTAATTCCCTATTCACTTTCTTTCTCACAGGAGTACTAATCTGCCATTTGCACAAACTTCTTAAAATTAAATAACATTAAGTATTGTTCTTAGCAATAAAAAATGGCTGAAAGACTCAAGCATCAAGAAAAGGAAAGGAAGGCTGACTGCTTGTTCATGTAATGTCACCCACTTAAAATGTGACCATGAGAAAAAGAAATGGGGACTAGGTAATCAATAAAGAGAATATTAAAAATGTAACACTATATATGACTTTGTCTGCTGCTTCTTTTAGTGTATGCTTTGAGAGGAAGGGGGACTTTTCTATAGCTAGATCATAGAGGATTTAGATTTTATACAGATTAAGCAGGGTCTTTGCAACAATTGAAAAAGGTAGAAATGTTTTAAGATGTAATCTTTGATTAAGGAATATAGTTTCCTTCTATCTTCCTAGCAAATTCTGCAAGTGTGAAATTGAACACAGAACAAGAATCACATTAAGTAAAGGAAAACATGGAAGTATTCAATTAAAGCTACTGAAAGATGCATCAAGTATCTAGAAGACAGGGGAAACTGCTACCACTTTATTCAGCTATTATTATTTACCACTCTTTGCTGAATACAGGAAGGATATTTATTAACTTTGTACTAGGAAGAGAGAGTAGTTCTGCGTGTAGTTTCAGCACTGCAGCAGAACAAATCAATGCTTTCTCTACAAATCCTGAAGATTTTTTAAAATCTGAAGCTTCAGTGGAGTCTGTAAAAAGATTTGGGAGCTTACACTTAATTGAAAAAATGAGAAACAAAAGAATAAAGGAAGAAACATAAGAAACAGAAGAGATAAAGAAATGAAAGAGAAGAATATCATAAGAATTCAAACACAAGATAAAAAAAAAAGAATCTTATTGAAAAACAAAACAAATCTCTTCCCATTAAATAATTTCAAATTTCCCATCATTACCACATATTTAAATTGACATATGCAAGCATTTATCTGGTGTTTTGCTTGTTTGCAAAACCTTTGCAGGTTTTACCTGCACGGGAAGGACAACAAATTGGAGAATTGGTGTAGGCATTGAGAAAGACAGTGCCATGTCTTTTCATAAAATTTATGGAAGGTAAATCTACAGTCTGATTTCCTGGAAAAAATGTCAAGCGTCCATCCTGCAATGAGACAAAAGCAACACATAAACAGCATTAATGCAAACTATTGGCTGCATAAATTCATATATTTGTTAGCATGGACTGGTGTTGCTCAAATGCTGCCAATTCTAGGCAGGTTTGGAAAACAGTGTTGAAAAGCCCTAAGCAGAACAATATAAAAAGGACCATTTTTGAAAAAGTGCAATGGAAATAATAACTGGGCTTCTTTATAGTAAAATTAATTCCACTGCATCACTATACATATTCCAAGCTCCACTTCTTCAGGGGTGGGGTTGTACCATGACACATTCAATGGGAATAGGTGCAGTGAACAATAAAAAGGAGTAAGGCGGATCCCAATGTAGATGTGTGCACTAGCACATACTTCTTTGAAACCATCATTGATTCCTCATCCTTTCTAAAGGTTTATCCATACCACTTCTCTGTGAACTTATTTGAAACTATGGACTAGAAAAGGGATCAGAAAGCTAAAGAAAGCCTATTCTCCCACAGAAATCCCACCCACAATGGTTCCCTTTTGATACTTCCATAATGCTAATTTTGATGCTTTCATAATGCTTATTTCATTTTAATAACCTATTTGTTCAGACAGATTTTTCAATCAGTAACTTAAAAAAGATTAAACATTTTGAATAGGTAACTTTACAGTAAAAGATTATCATCACATGAAACCAGGTTTCATGCATATTTCACTTCACTGTGTTTTATCTGTCACTTTTATTCCCTTCCTTAGTTGAATAAGATGTGCCAACACAGCCTCAGTCTGGCTGGCTGTTCAGTGAACAGATAGGCGGCAGTGCATCTGCAGTTTTAACTGCAGAAAAACGTAATTCCCAGCATTTGGTTTCTGGCAGAAATACTCTTGGATAACCCAGCATTGTAGAGGGTCACTTCATTTGGCACCAGTAGAGCTAACTGCAGCATCCCAGCCTCTGAACTCAGCTCATATCAGAACATGCCAAATGAGCAATCACCTAATCTTGTATACTACTACAAATAGCATCTTGATCAAGCACGCAGTAGGACAAACTGGAAATAAAGCTGTAATACACATTATGAACTTGAACATAACTTCGGACTGAAAGTGCTCTTTAGAAAGTTGTTCTGGTTCCAACCAGGATAGGGTACATTTTTGCAGTAGCCAGGCGGGGACAAGGCTAAGACATGGAGGTTATTGTATACCACATGTTATTTTCCAGGAACAGGGAAAGGGGTCCTTTCCAGGTCAGAGCAGTGTGGCAGCCAACAGGTACTCTTGAGCTCTGCATAGTATAACGGTGAGCATTCAAATGTGAATTGCTCACCTCTCTTGTACATTTTTGTTATTAACACCACGGAGCTTATGTTTGATTCTACAACAAGGTGAGTTCAGGTGAGTTAGAGAAACCAAGGCTCCCCAGAGTAAAACACACCAGAGCATTTTTAGTGTGCTGGTGGGCACAGTGAGAAAACTGTGAAGATACATGCAAAGATTAGTATTTGTGAGTGGGAAAATTCTTTGTCTGAAGGGTAAACCAAATATATTAATAAATCACTGTGATGAAGTTGCTACGTACCCACTGCTAGAGATACACGTCTGACAAGTTTACTGTGTTGTTATACCTTATAAGAGCCTCAATAAACCAGTATTTGGAGCTCAGTAAGTCAGCAATTTCATCTGTGATTCTAGAAATTCGCTATCCCATTTGTTGTGGAGACTTAACAGCCATAGGACTTAAAATGGGAAGGGTAACATGGTTTAGTGACCTTGCTTACCACTAGGCTTTTCAAGCGAACCGAAGAACATTGACTGTACACACCAGCCCTGCTCCAGGGGCAGCTGCCCTGCCACGGAGTCCTGCTGGCATGTCCCCCTCCCGGGCGACAAGCTCTATGACCCCAGACCGTGGGAGCCACCTGCGCAGAGGTTTTCGGCTGCTGGGAAGCCCCTGATGCGAGCAAGGCGTACCCTTCTGGGAAGCGGCCGCGTTTGTGTCGGAATACTGGGGTGAACAGTCGGGGTGCGGCTGTCTCGTCGCACGGCAGGCCTAGTGCTGCTACTGCTGCAGCCCCTGCCGCCGCTGCTGCCGCTGCTTCTGCTGCTGCTGCTGCTACTGCAGCGCCTGCCGAGCCGCGGGCGCCCCGCGCAGTGAACTCGCGCTTGCGCATGCCCTGTCTCTGGCCTAGGTAATGCATCCATACGGCCGCGGTGTCTCATCCTCCCTAGTTCCGTCCAGGCCACCGCCGAGGATTCCCTCCTGCCCCGCCCTTACCTGTCAGGGTGTCCTTCCACCCCCCGATCACTCACCAAGGAGTCGCAGGCCACCAACACCACGTTAGATCGGGGCTGGTCCCCGGGGACGGCGGGCCGCGGCCTTGCTCCGGCCCCGGCGGCCATGAGGAGCAACGCCACGCCGGCTAGCCCCAGCGGCCCGCCGTCTCGCAGTGGCCCGCAGTCTCGCATCGCCCCGCCACCGTAGCCCCCAGTTCTCTAAACGAGGAGCAGCAGCTCCGAAAGCAGATTCCGAGGCTCTGGCCACAGAGAAAGAGTTGACCCCACCGCACGCTACCCGTTCACTGCGGCCTACAAGTCCCACGGTGCCCAGTGCGGCGGCCTGCAATTCCCAGCGTGCCCCGGGAAACGAGAACTACATGTCCCACGGTGCCCCAAGAGAAAATGGCGCCTGCCGCGGCGTGTCACTGCCCCGCGTCGCAGTGCGCATGCGCCCTGGTGGCGGCTGAGGTGGCGGACGCGGCGGCGGCTGCAGGTGCGGCAGCGGCGGGCGGAGGGCGGCGGGCGGTGGCGCGCCCTGGGGGCCGGGCTTGGTCCACCGCGGCTTTCCCTGGGTGGAGGGCTGCAAGCGTGGATTGCCTCCCCTGGCGGTTCGCGGCCCCGGACCCCACCCGCAGGCCGGGCTGGATGGCCTCCCCGGTGCCCAGGTTTGCGCCGCAGGGTGTTTTGCTTGTAGGTGACTGTGCAGCTCTGGCTGGACAGTGCCCGCGGAGGGGTGCGTTTGTGACGGCCGAAGCACCCTCGTAGGGAGCAAATTTATCTCCAGAAGCTGCTGAGCGATTCAAGTCCGACAGATTTCTTTATAGGTTCTGAGGGAATCTTTCAAATTCGATGTCGTCCTATGTCCAACCATTCCTTTATTTTTGCTTTTCAGCTCCTAAAAAGTTTTTTTGTTCTTCAGCTGGTTGCGTTTTTCATCTTTTTGAGTCCCGGCAGCAGTAGTGTTGTTTCTCAGTCTCATCCTGTCTCGGCAGCTTTGACTGTGGTGTTTCTAAAGTTCATTTTGGTGTACAACATACACCAAAACATTGCAAGATTGTGTTAAAAAGCGTGAATGTCTCTTTGCTGTGTTCTTAAATGCTTTTTCTTTTTTGATTCATGGCAGTAGTCAGAGGGAGAATCTGCTGTAGTTGTGTGTGAAGGACGGGCCGCACCGGGGTGTGACAGCCACGGTGCTGCTGTAGAACGCTCACAGAGAAAACCCTGATTCTTAGCAGCCTCTGGAACACATTTCCCGGGCCGTAGGGTTCTTAAACACGGTTCACTGCTTAGTTTCTTTTTAAAGAGTATCTGCTATGTGCAGGGTGTTTTCTCCTAAGCCTAGCTACAGGCTCTCAAAACACCTCTTCCTTAAATTTATCTTAACCTGTACAAAAAGTTTCATTCTTGGATACCTACTTTGTATCATGTAACTCCTCGGAATAATGACTGAATCCTGCATTAGAGTAAATGTGGGTAGTTTCAACTATGCCATCTTTTTAATCAGTTTCTGGTGCTGTATGCATTTTGGCATACTGCACTAAATTTCTCTGTTTAAAATAACCCCTGTGCAATAAAGGTATAAACATTTTGTATGCGTCAGAATATCTGTTTATACAAGAACTGATGATATGTCCTTTGTATTTAGCAGCCACGATGTCAAATAAGGAGGTGAAGGCAGCATTAAAGAGTGCTAGAGATGCAATAAGAAATAAACAGTACAAGGAGGCCTTAAAACATTGCAAGGTAATTAATTTTATACTTGGAAGGCAAGTTTGGGGCTTTTTGCACATTTTGTTCTTTTTCCCATACCTCTACAGCTGTATAATTAAGAGTGCAGAGTGTAGAGTACTGTATTGATGTGATAGTTGAGATGGATTTTCAGAATTAACTTAATTGATTGTGTTAGTTTCCCTCATGTAAACTTTTATTCCCTTTCCTTTTGAATTTTTTACATGTGGCGATAAGAGTATTAAGTCTGGAATGATAGAAATAAAAATCCATTTCTAATCCAGACCTCCTAGGAGTGCTTTAATTGCTGAGCTGCAGCACTAGCTCAAGACATCAGATGTGAAGCATCCTCTAGTATAAGAAACTGAAGTTACTAATCTCAGCGTCTTCCTTAAAATTACTTAACTCCTAAAATTGTCATATAAAATAATTCACCAAACTGTAGTGATAAAACTCAGTACATGGATGTGTAAGTTACATTTCTTTAATCAGATTGTTCTTTAATCATTTCTTTAATCATTTTTTTACTTAAAATTGTGTGGTTTAGGCAGTCTTGAAGCAAGAAAAAAATAACTACAATGCTTGGGTATTCATTGGCCTGGCAGCTGCTGAGTTAGAGCAGCCTGATCAGGCCAAAGGAGCATACAAGAAGGCTATTGAACTTGAACCAAACCAGTTACTGGCATGGCAGGTATGTGAATATCCAATTTTTGTTTCCCTCAAAAGTATTACCATGGACTTAAATATAGGAATAAAGCAGAGTTAAGACTTGTATCTTGTTTTCTTGAGGTCCTTAAGTTCCAAAGAAGCTTTGGAGTAGATGGGGTTCCTGTTAGTTGTGTGTCCAATGTAAAATCATGTATTTCTTTCTTCTTTGTATTTCTTATGTAGACTACACAGCTGTGAGACATACAAGGGAGAACACTAATTGAAACAAATACAGTAAATTTGTCTAAAAATTTCTGTGCTTGTAGCTCAATAAACACCTGACAGTTCTTCTCTTACGGATAGAAAATATTTTATCTGCTAATGTATTTTTCCAGCTTTCAGCATCAAGTGGATTGTTAATGAATGTTGTTGTTACTTGAAATCAAAAAGTTTACATTAAAAATAGCTGTGTGGTGTGCACATTAAAACCTATTGCAATGTAGATTTACAACCTACAATTTTGTTATGTATTAATTCATGAAACATAAGGTTTCATATTATATATCTGTTGCTGATATCAACAGTCAATGTTTTTCTAAGATAATAAAGTTCTTAGTATTTTCAGTATAAATGCTATTTGAAAGTATAACTGTTGGGGCCTGAATTCAGTGTATGTTGACATTTCCTCACTTTTGCAATTAGGTTCTGGCTTTCTTGATACAATACTTGGGTGTGTATATATGTTATTATATATTTTGCATATTTCATATATATATATATATGGTTATAAGGCCTAGTGAAGTTTTATATTGTCTTTTGTGCAGACCAGATCAAGTAATAGATACAAGTTTCAAAAAATTGTTATTAGTAAAGAAAGTGAAGAAAGCTTTTCACTTAAAATAAGTAGATTGAGTGGGCTGTGCAGAACTCTGCACAGTGATTATTGCCTTAACACTTGACCCCATTGAAGGCAATGGAATATTTTTTGTGTACAGAATAGGTGGCATTCTCATAAAACACAAGCATTGTCATAAAATCTTGCTTGCTTTACTTTTTTTTGTTGGTTTTTTTCTTAAGGGATTAGCAAATTTGTATGAGAAACCCAACCAAACAGATGTCAAAGGAGACTTAGCAGATGTGTACCAAAAACTCTTGGAACTTTATGAAAGGTAAAGAATATTGAATGCTATAAATTCAGTCTTAAGATCTCTAATTCAGTGAATGCCATTGGTGGTACAGAGTATAGACTTTGGGTTTTTGAAGCCTTCTCACATCAGCAGTTCGGCCCTTTTGCTAAGGTTTTTTCTGCTTAGGTACGTTTTCTTTTTTCTGTTCCTTTTGGTAGAGCAAAAACTCTCTTAGCTTACCTGTCTGTACTTGAGGCTAGTTGTTTAGGGAATTCCATGTTATCCGATTCCTGTCTAAACTTGAAGCATTTATCTCTGATAGGTGATTGCCTGCATTAATAAGAAGGCTTATTTTTCACTGCTTTAAGATCACAGAATATGTGCCATACAATTTGTAGAGGCACAGTTCTAAACAAATCTAGCTCAACTGTCACTGTAGCTGACTGGAGTGCTTGGTTACTTTGAAAACTGATCCAAAAGTCCCTAAAAGTAATTTTTTTTTGTCCAGAGCAGCAATGAGTAAAACTTATAGGGCAATTTTTAGTATGTAGTCTAAATATTAGTTTGACAACTGAACTTACTGAAAATTATTTGTCAGAATTTGAAAAGCATTACACTGTTATATGAAAAACTTAGCTTGTTTTGGGGGGATTTTCTTCCTTTCTAGTGGTGACAAGCAGAAATGGTGTGATGTATGTAACAAGCTTGTGGAACTATACCATCAAGAAAAGAAATATTTAGAGGTAGGTCAAGCACTTTCTTACTTCTAACAATTATTTTCCATTTGATTTAACTACTTTTCATCAAGGAATCCCCATTCTTATGGGCCACAGACCACTTAAGATCTCCTTGTGGATCACAACTAGGAGGAGCTGATTTTAACTGTATTTTGACTTTTCCACTGGGTGAGACTTAGATGCAGTCCATTAAACTGGCAGAACTGGCAAAGACTATTAGTATTGAGAATGAAAGGGCAGAATATCATCCTTCTGTTGTATTTCTAGAAGTCAAAAGTGGTATCAAATGCAGTATGTGTGAGTCAGTTGTCCTTTGCCTGGCTTGGCCAGTGCTGGGTGTCCGATGACCCTTTCACTGGTGGGGTGATCCCTTCCTAGGCTGTTACTGAAGCTTCATTCTAGAGGGTAAGGTGGGATATGTACACAACCTGAACTTGATTGCATATATCTTCTGTACTGCATTCCCAACACAATGATAAGGACACAAAAAACCTCTTCAGAGCAACACAAGCTTTGCAGAAATCATAGTGACTCTAGTCAGTACCACGAAGTGGAGTTGTCAACAGTAATGTTTCCTGCAATCTCTGTAATATTGTTACAGAATGTCTATTTTGGAAGTATGTGCTTTGCTCTTTCAAAAGGCTGTTTTCTTACATGGTGGTGCATGATTGTATTCTATGTCATCTTCCCACCTCTCCTTCAGCAATGGAACATGGAAAATTTTACATAGCACGGAGCATGGGGCTGAAGGCTATCAATTAGCTCCAAAGCCTCATTGTATACCAG